TCACATGTGATTCTGTCCCCGACTCTCCTTCTCTTAGTTTGGGGGTTGTTCAGTTCGGCTGTAGAAAAACCTACAGTTTTACCTGTTGGTTTCCAGCATAGGGTACAATAACCATAAAAATGTAACTGAGATGAAATAGCAAAGCAGCCCATAGAATCAACAGGAAAGCATTTCATAGAATCATAGAATATCAGGGTTGGAAGGGACCTCAGGAGGTCATCTAGTCCAACCCCCTGCTCAAAGCAGGACCAATCCCCAACTAAATCATTTAGCTTCACTTCATAGAGTAGCCCTTCCCTTTCCATTGCTTGTGTCGAATAACAGAGCACACATGGGACCTTCTAATAATTCTACTCCTCAGTTTGCTGATAAGTGGGGGGCTGATCCAAAAAGCGCTCAGATTTCCCCCAACTCCCACTAGCCACCAAGGGATCTGAGAGTCCTCGGTGCCCTGCAAGAGATACTCAGCAACACACAGAGAAGGAACTAGTACAGCCAGTTTTACCCTGCTTAGATGACAAACTGAAAATCTGTGTAAAGATACATTTACATGGGAGAAGTCATCGGCAATTGCCTCATAAAACACAACCTTTCAAATTAGATGTGGCTGACAAGTAAACAATAGGAAAACCAGTCAGTTGATTGTGTTAATGAAATGCTGTTGCTATGGAAAAAATTGTCCCGGTAAAGGTGAAAACACATACACTTTTCTTTCTGTACCACGCTCCAAGAGGATAAGAAATCAAGTTCAAAACAGCTCCTTGAAAATGGATCTGTCATGATCATGGGTACAACCAAGGACTGTTTTTAAGGGGTTCATTTCCTTACACCCCCCCCCCCAAAGATTCAGATATAATTTGGAAATAAAGTGCCCACTGCCAGCTACTGGAATGATCTGCGAATCTACACAAGGCACATGCCGTATTTGCCCTGTGACTTTTTCTTCCCTTTTTAGTCTGAAGCTATAGGTCCTTCTGAATAAACTCTTACAGGCAGCTGCAAATGGGTGTAGTTGCACGGGAGTCAATGCAGGTACACCGATTCACACCAGCCCTTAGACTGATATTCATGGCAAACCTGACAGCTGCACAGTCACCTAGGGAAGCAGACATGATTAGTGACGTTAAATCGTCTGCTCCTTCATCTGCAGCTCCAGTAACAGAAACATCTGGCTCTTGTCTTTCCATCTTCTAATGGGAGCATGCGGATGAATTCCTGAAACTAGCAGTGCAGTTTTATTTTGGGGCAGGGCAGGAGCTGTTGAAAATGTAATGACAAGGGGCTGTCAACTGTACTTTGCTAATGGTAAAATATGGAACGGTTACAAATTATGGACCAAAATCTACCCTCTGGGACACTTTGATGGAGTTATTCTGGATATGCAACAGTGCACATGAAAGCATAATTTGGCATTTGCTATGGGAATTGGTTTACATCTTGAAGAGGTACCTCCAGAACACAACACTATGGCACTTGCACAGCTCTTTGAGCCACCATGGTTGAGGTTCCCTGAACCAAAAACTTGTAAAATTAAATGGAACTGCTTCTCCTCTCACTTACACCCACACAAAACTCATGTATCTGCAATGTCTTCAGTGGTAGGTTAGAATCATAGAATCATAGAATATCAGGGTTGGAAGGGACCTCAGGAGGTCATCTAGTCCAACCCCCTGCTCAAAGCAGGACCAATCCCCAATTAAATCATCCCAGCCAGGGCTTTGTCAAGCCTGACCTTAAAAACTTCTAAGGAAGGAGATTCTACCACCTCCCTAGGCAACGCATTCCAGTGTTTCACCACCCTCCTAGTGAAAAAGTTTTTCCTAATATCCAACCTAAACCTCCCCCACTGCAACTTGAGACCATTACTGCTTGTCCTGTCCTCTTCTACTACTGAGAATAGTCTAGAACCATCCTCTCTGGAACCACCTCTCAGGTTCACCTAACTCATATAGTTGTACATGAGAGGAGAGTCATAGCCAGTGTACAGTAGAACCTCAGGGTTATGATCACCATAGGCGCCAACTCTGTGGGTGCTCCAGGGCTGGAGAACCCACAGGCAAAAATTAGTGGGTGCTCTGCACACACTGGCAGCCAAGCTCTCCCCTCCCCATGTCGTTCCCCCCCCCCCCCGAGCGTGCTGCATCCCTGCTCCTCCGCCTACCTCCCAGTGCTTCCTGCCGCCAAGCGGTGCTTAGGACTTTCCGGGAGGGAGCGGGGAGTAGCTGGGACATGGTGCGCTCAGGGGAGGGGTGGGGACTTGGGGGAAAGGGGTGGAATGGGGATGGGAAGGGGTGGAATGGGGGCGATGGCGGTGCAGGGGCAGGGCCAGGAACAGTGGGGGGTCGAGCACCTACTGGGAACAGTGGAAGTCGGCGCCTATGACGATCACCTCAGGAATGGGGGTTGTTCATAATTCACTCTGAACAAAATGTTATGGGTGTTCTTTCAAAAGTTTACAACTGAACATTGACTTAATATAGCTTTGAAACTTTACTATGTAGAAGAAAAATGCTGCTTTCCCTTTTTTTTTTTAGTAGTTTATGTTTAACACAGTATGGTACTGTATTTGCTTTTTTATTGATTGGTCTCTGTTACTACCCGATTGTGTACTTCTGGTTCCAAATGTGGTATGTGCTTGACTAATCAATCCGTGACTCTGATGTTTTGTAACTCTGAGGTTCTCCTATATTTACATACATGGGGTTCCCATATTTGGACTCAGAATCTGATCTCAAGTCTACTGAAGTCAATACAGTTACACTGGTGTAAAGCCTGTGAAAGAGAGGTTGACTCAGACTCAGTGACTTCACTGGAGTTACTCTGGATTTACACCAGAGTAACTGGGATCAGAATCTGGCCTTTGATTTGTATCACTCTCAAGGTAGTATTGCAGGGCAGGGGAGAAGGCTGCATTAAATCAACCACTGGAAAAAAAAATCTAGCATCCTTTGCTGCTGTCAAGTGTTCTGTTTTGTAACCTGCAAATCTCCACTTGAGGATTAGGAGCACGATGAGTAGTGTCATGGCAGTTCCTCCTGGCACACTGCTCAATGAACAATTCCTGACTGCACACGTGGTATAACAGCAGGGAATGGAGCTTCTGCCCTTTTTCAGGCTTAGCCCTGTGGCTCTGAGAATCATGACCTGCCTGAGTCTGAGCCTGTGAGAACAATGCTGGGATGTATGTACCCACGCACTGTGTCAGGCAGGGATAGAGTCAACTGCCTCCAAGGGAAGGAAACAGGGAGTTTGCTCCAGCAGGAAAGAGAGGACTCCCATCTGGTTCATCAAAGCAGTTCCGTAAATGAGAAAAAGAAAAGGAGTACTTGTGGCACCTTAGAGACTAACCAATTTATTTGAGCATAAGCATGGTGCATCCGATGAAGTGAGCTGTAGCTCACAAAAGCTTATGCTCAAATAAATTGGTTAGTCTCTAAGGTGCCACAAGTACTCCTTTTCTTTTTGCAAATACAGACTAACACGGCTGCTACTCTGAAACCCGTAAATGAGAAGGAAGTGTCCTAGGGGAAGGAGGGAGCAGGGCTAGGAGACTCCTAGATGACTTCTTCACCAGAAGGCATGAAGACCACAGAAACATGCCTTTGACTGTACTCCTCACTAGAGGCTTTAAGTTACAACTGTTTATTTCCCTTTTATTTTGCTTACCTCTCACCGGAGCGAACCTGCCTGGGTCTGACAGTGCTCTCTCACCTTTGGCCAAAGTTGCCTGTGTTCCGTACAAATCTGGTATCCCCTTACTCTTATGATTGATAGTTATTCACCTCAGATGAAAAGAATCATGGGGCTGGGGTTGAAGGGAGTTATTTACACGGAAAGATGGAATCCCTTTGAGTGTCCGGCATGAATAATATTTTGGTGTTCCTCATTCTGGATCTTTGTCATGCAGTGAGCCCCCTACTGGGGCAATGGCAGGTTGAGAAGTATGCTCTGTAAGTTAGCCAGCAGTCATGGGCTCTCTGGTAAAAGGTATGTGCCTTAACGAGACAGTGCTTTGTTTCTCCTGTTTGTTGTTTCCCGTTTTTAAATAGTATCTGGTATTATGGTCTTGGGCCATCCTTGTGTGAGTGCCAACAGCAAGGTGATTATGTCCAGGGAGCAGCCGTTGAGAAACCTTACAGAACAATCCAGTGACACTTCTTCCTCTGTTCATTATTGAGAGTAAATTAACTATGAAAACCGGAGCAGGCCAGCCAGATCTGACAGTATGTCTAAACTTGTTCCTGATTTTTTAAAAAAGAACATGTTAATGTTTAATTGACATGTCTAATGACATGTTCCACTCCCTTGGTTGAATGTGTATTTGTGGCAACTCTACATGCAACCTTGGTGTGCAATTTTCCATCTTTCCTGACTGAAAAACAGTCCCTGGGACTGATTCTCCTCTCATTGTGTAATTCTGGAGTAACTACACTGAAGTCCATGGAGTTACCCTAGTTTTACACCAGTGTGAGAGGAGAATCAGACTCCCTGGGTCTAACAGCTGGACAGGAGACTGAAAGTTGAATCCTCACTGCACTTCCTAAAGTAACGAGGGGGAAAACATGCTGAGTAAATCCATGCCTATGCTCCAAATCTGGATGCTTTAAGGTAAGCATTCCACTACAGCTTGTGCCACACTGTCAGCTATATGCTGTCTCATTGTCTGTTTTTAGTTCAGTGTGGTCCAACCGCTTCCTGGTATGACAATGTTGTTGCATCGTACTTTACAAGGGATTGAGCCAAAAATAAAAATTACAGTTGCATTTCTCTGTATTAATATGTGGTCTCTTCCAGCATGAGAAATGCTGTAGGTATTTGCTTTCATGACTCATCAAGTATTTTCCTTCTGTGTTACAGTAACCTTCTTCAAATGGAAGCACTGTAAAATATACTGTGGGGCTCAATCCTATGTAGGCAGGGAATTTGCATTTTATGATCCTGATAGGTCATATTCAGATCTTATACACTGCTCATGCTAAAAGACAGATTCACTATTGAGATGACTGTACTCCAAAAGAAGATGGCTATGCAGTTCTAGAACGTGACCTGCAGATGACCTCCTCTTTAATAAAAGTACAACATGGAGAGGCTACCTCCATGTCCACAAAAGATGGACCCAATGCATGTTGAGACCTGTGGGCTCTATGGGCTGAACCACTGAATTAAAGAGGAGGGTGGCTGCCATATGCTCCACTTCATTCAAATAAAAGGCCTTGAAGTCAATGGGAATGGGGCACTAGGGGTGGCCTTGGACTCCTGATAAATTGCCAGTGTGGCCCTGGTTTGGGCCAAGTGAAACATAATGCTAAAGTCTGAGCTCTCATGGCATCCGAGGGCTGTTTGGGACCATCTCTGCTATTTAAAAATAATTACATATGTACAAAGTTGCTGAATGTAACAGAAAAGCCCATTCTAAATTGTGCTTGGGAGTCATGGGGTCATTTTGCCCCCTTAGCAATAAAAATAATACTCTGCACTTAGAAGAAAGCCTGTGTGTAAGGACGTCAAATTTTATACATATTTAATAACCCCCACAAGCCTTTTACAGACAAATTCATGGAGGCACAGAGATTAAATGCCGTTGCCACGCACTCACGAAGTGGTGTTGGCATTTTAAATATAAAATTAAATTCTGCTCCATTATAAGGGATGTAGAGGGTCCACTTCATCTACCAATGAGGTACAGCCACCTCAGGGGTGAACCATGGTAACTATCAGTGCACAATACCACTCAGCAATTTAAAGGAGGAAGCAAGAAAGAATGCAGTGTCCAATCAAAAGTCTGGACTCAAGAGAAAAGGCTTGTCAGGCTCATGGTAAGTTTGGGTCATCTAGCAGAATAAATCGTATTTTCCATATAACATAAGGGAGCTCTGTTTGAATGTTCTGTACTTTCTTAGCGAGACAAAGTGGGTGAGGTAATATCTTTTATTGGACCAACTTCTGTTGGTGAGAGAGACAAGCCAACACGGCTACAACTAAACTGTTTTTCTTATCAAGTTGCCCCTTCTGTTCAGCTACACAGTACTACAGACCTAGTTCCCCACTTACCAGAGCTGCTGGAGATAGGCATGACAGGTTTCATTCTGACTGGAGCTTATCAGCTGTAAGCAACTGGCTTCCAAAATCATCTGTGGTTAATTTAACTTTTTTTTTTTTTCGAATTTTGTCAGCTGCTGCTACTATGTCCTGAGAAAAGGATGTCCTTATACCTCCGACGTGGTCAATTCTCTACTTTAAAGTTAGACTTTTAAAATTAATATTTAAATACAGTAGAACCTCAGCATTACGAACTCGGGAATGGGCGTTGTTCGTAACTCAGAAATATTCGTAGCGCTGAATAAAATGTTTTGGTTCTTTCAAAAGTTTACAGCTGAACACTGACTTAATTCAGCTTTGAAACTTTACTATGCAGAAGAAAAATGCTGCTTTTAACCATCTTAATGTAAACAAAACAAGCACAGAAACAGTTTCCTTACCTAGTCAAATCTTTTTTTTTTTAAACTTTCCCTTTATTTTTTTAGTAGTTTACATTTAATATAGTACTGTACTGTATTTGCCTTTTTATTTTTTTTTGGTCTCTGCTGCTGTCTGATTGTATACTTCTGGTTCCAAATGAGGTGGGTGGTAGACTGGTCAGTTCGTAATTCTGGTGTTTGTAACTCTGAGGTTCTACTGGAATCAAAATCAGTTAGAGCCAACTCCTCATCCTCCCACCATCCTCATTCACTTGGCTAGACCCAGAGCTTCCACACAGGCCGGGGACGGAGGAATCCAATAGTCAGCATCAGCAGAGCTGCTCTAGGGGTCCACTTGCTCTTGCAGTTTCAAGAACTGCTTGTTGGGGATTCTACATAGCACTTGAAACCCTATTAGGGTGGGAGGGACCATGGGTGGAGGTGCTGGTTTTGCCACATGCTAGGCAAGATGTGTGTCTGAGAGTTTTTCAGCCAAGCTCTAGGGGTATCAGAGCTTTGCTAAACTTTCCCAGCTTGAGTTCCCATAAGTGAGAGTTGGCAAATGGCAGGGGATTTTGGTCTACGTTATTACCGTGGGGCCCTTTGTCTCTAGCTCTCCAAACCAGAAATGGCATTAACTGTTGTAATATCTAGTGTAGAGCCATGCGATAATAATGCTTTGCACGTTTACCTTTCGTCCCATGATTTCTAAGTGCTTTACGTATGTTAAATATCACCCACAATCCCCCGCAGTGAGACAGGTCAGTATTGTTCTCTTAATCTTACAGATGGAGAAAGTGAAGCTCAAGGAAGTTACACTTGCACTGTGAATCAGTCGCTGAACTGGAATGAAACCAGGGATGACTACCTGTCCTATGCCCCAGCCAGTACACAACATTGCCTCTCTCTCAAGAGTGCAGCAATGTTTCTGGCTGTCTTTCCTTTACTTACAAGGAGGGGCATGGATTAGATGCAGTGGTGAATTCCAGGGATTGCTGCATGGCTCCCATATAATAAATAACATGGCTAGAGATTTAAAATATTATCAAAGAGCTTTTGCAGCTGAGGTAATATTCCGATTACCATTGCTCTGATCAGGGGCTTTCTACGCTATAGTTCTTATAGCTATAAGAACTACAATTTAAATTTATGGCTTCATAAATCCATCCTGCCTTGATCCCGGGGGCTGGACTAATAACCCATTAGCAGCCCCTTTCAACCCAAATGATCCAGTGATCATAAAATATTTAGAGACAGGTCAAGCCTAGGTAATTTGAAGAATAAAGATTATTTCTCCCTGCAGGGACTGTACTGCAAAGTCTAACCTGAAGCTCTGAAGACTTTTCCCTTACTGGACTGTGCAGACAGCAACTCAAAGTAAGAGAGTAAGGAGAAAATGACCTGGCCATAGCCCTGTCTGACAAAGGAGAATGAGTTCTGTGACTCTGGAGAATTGGAGACCTTCCAGAATCAAATCATTAGTAAAGTTATTAAAGGAAAGATACCAGGGTGTGAAATTAACTTCACCCGTATATAGCTAGACTGTTTACAGATGGAATGCATGGAGATAGCAGGGAAATGCAAGCCAAGATCAGGACACAAGGTCTGCAATCCTTTGATGCCACTTGTTCATGGTGTTAAGACCACTTGATTTGCATAATTGGAGACCTTGTCCCCCCTCTCTTGGCCCACCACCAATGTTGCCCTCCATGGTGTGCTGTTGAGAATCAAATCACTGGGCACAAGGAATCCTAACAGTTCTGGGCACAAGCTGTCCCCAGCTGGGATCACAAAGACATTTTCCCCCAAGCAATGTCCAAGTAACAGTCTGGAGTTCACACAGCCTCCCATAAAAAAATCTTATAGTAGTTACTGTCAGAGGGAATATGGGACTGTGCCTCATGGCAATTTAAGTTCCTGCTGCAGAGAAGCCAACATTGTTTTTATTCTACCGAGCAGTCTTTGAGTCACAGAAATCAGAGACAGAATATACCATTAGGGCTCACTGAGCTCACCCACAACCATAGCAAGATTGTTCCTTGCAGAACATTACAGAGTGCTTTGTCCAAACCAACTTAAACTCCTGCCAAGGCTTCCACCATCCCCCTGTGGGACTATACTGGAGTCTGATTGACCTTATTATTAGGGAATGTTGCTAGCCAGACATTTTCCTTTCCTTTTATTACATGAGCTGATGCTTCTCACATGCAGAACCACCCTAATCCTTGCTCTTATTAATGCTGATACTCAATCATTTACCCCCACCCCCAGCCTGTACATATTTAGTCCTTTTAACCTTTCCTTATAGCTTTCCTTATAGATCAATCCTTCCCAGTGCTATGAATAAATAGAAGACTTCTGTTCTCACCAACAATGGTCTTTTAACAGTTGCAAGAACAAAATAGCGACCCTGCTGAAAAATCCCAAACATTTGATGCATTTTTAAATCTGTAGCTCCAGCTGGTTTCTTCTTTTTAAAGTAAGTATGGAATCTGCTGAGAAAATGAATGGAAAGCATAAGCATGAGTGGATCTCTGTCTGAGGGGACTTCCAACTGACCTCGAAAGCAAACCACATACGAAGTAGCAGCAGGGTACTTCAGTTAGGAACCACCTAAATAATCTATATACGCTAGAAGAGCAACATCTTTCCCTTCATTCTGATCTGACTTTACAGATCCTTCAGAGCATGAAATTCACCTGGTGGCCCTCTAAGTTTCAAAGCAGGGTGAAAGACTGGGAGGTGTCTACACATTCTGTGCCTCAGAAAGGGGAGACTTTATGGGAGCTCTGAACATACCTGCACAGATGAGATGCGCTGAGGGACTGCATACTGGCACTGTGCTTAAGCAAACTAAGTGGCTAGGAACCTCCCCGTAGTGGGGATGGGGAAAGGGGTCAGATTATTTCATCCTTCCCCCGCAACGACAGCCACTTATGTTACACTCATAAGGAGCGCTAGCAAGTCCATGTAAAAGGGAAAAAATATTGCAACATGTCCTGCAAAGGGATAAGAGAGAGGTAAATACAAGATTCTGATTTCTATCTACAAAAATCTAAATACCTTAGTAACTGCTATTAGTTGATACCCACCTGTAAAAGTGAAATAGTGGTCCTTTTAGGCTCTGGTCATGTAACGCAATCAAAGTAAATATAAAACTCACCACAACAGACAAAACAGGAGAGGGTCTACAATGGAAAAATTGGAGAGAGTCCAGCGAAGGGCAACAAAAATGATCAGAGGTCTGGAACACATAACTTATGAGGAGAGGCTGAGGGAACTGGGATTGTTTAGTCTACAGAAGAGAAGAATGAGGGGGGATTTGATAGCTGCTTTTAACTACCTGAAAGGTGGATCCAAAGAGGATGGATCTAGACTATTCTCAGTGATAGCAGATGACAGAACAAGGAATAATGGTCTCAAGTTGCAGTGGGGGAGATTTAGGTTGGATATTAGGAAAAACTTTTTCACTAGGAGGGTGGTGAAACACTGGAATGCGTTATCTAGGGAGGTGGTGGAATCCCCTTCCTTAGAAGTTTTTAAGGTCAGGCTTGACAAAGCCCTGGCTGGGATGATTTAGTTGGGGATTGGTCCTGCTCTGGGCAAGGGGTTGGACTAGATGACCTCCAGAGGTCCCTTCCAACTCTGATATTCTATGATTCTGATGAGGGTGGATGGAACACTTCTCTTCAAACTTTAATAAATGAAAGCACTTTGCATGTGAAAATGAAGCCAGGTTCTCTATCCTTCATTTTCATTTTCTTTGGCTCTTAGCTTCATAGATCCCCATCCTAAGACAGCCTATCTAAAGGATGTGTCCAAAACAGGTAGCAATCTCCCCAATCCACAGAAAACATAACATCACCAGAACTTGGCTGAATCTCCAACATAAATTTGTTGCTGATGAGTGACTCCTCACTGTGTCCCCAATAAATCAAAGACCTTCCAGGGCAACCAATGTAGACATATTCTCTTTTTTTTTACTATCATCAGAGCTTCACAAAAAGATAGGTTTCCTCTTTTTAAATTAAACTGACGGCAACACAGAAAACATTCAGTACTTGGAAAATAACTTCATGAAGTGAGAGGGAAGGTTGAGAGTACAAATCAGTAATGTAAGGGTTAAAAACCTTACAAGAATGTTGAAGTTATTAAAAAACAAAAACAACAACTATAAAAAAAAAAACCCAAACCCAGCCACTATGAATTCAGGAAATTCAGAATTGAGGTTAAATTTCAAAGAAACCCAAATGTTATGAACATCTAGAAATGCATAGCAAGGTCATCCAAACAACCTTAACACTGCCCCATGTTGCGATGCCCTGAGTGAATCCAGGAACTTTGCCATAACATTTTCCATCCATAACAAATAGGTTTATCACAAAGGACCACAAAAGCCAGACACTGGAGACAATGGAGAAAATCTTTCTATATTACAAAGGAACTCTTCGTTTTTTCCTCTGCCAGATGCTCTCATGGTTTATCATAGGCTTAGCACAAAACAAAGTAATGTTTGACTGACTATTTTGGGAGATGTAATGGAGAATTAAGCATTCTTGTGGCATTAAGTTATCATCAGTTTGGGAAAATTTCCAATAAGGGAAATTTTTTTACCATTTAAGGCAGTCTGTTACTGTGTCTGGAAACTTCTATTGGACATGTTTCAGAGTAGTAGCTGCGTTAGTCTGTATCCGCAAAAAGAAAAGGAGGACTTGTGGCACCTTAGAGACTAACCAATTTATTAGAGCATAAGCTCATGAAAGCTTATGCTCTAATAAATTTGTTAGTCTCTAAGGTGCCACAAGTCCTCCTTTTCTTTCTATTGGAGAGTATGCCCAAATAATATAACCTGATTCAGAACAGTTTCTTGCAGTGTTGTTGTAGCCATATTAAAGAGACAGGGTGGGTGAGGTAATATCTTTTATTGGTGACAATAACTTCTGTAGGTGAAAGAGACAAGCTTTTGAGCTACACAGAGCTCTTCTGAAGGAAAAGGAAAAACGAAGAGTTCCTTTGTAATATAGAAGGGTTTTCTACATTGTCTCCAGTATCTGACTTTTGTGGTCCTTTATGTGACAAACCTGTTTGTTATGGATGGAAAATGTTATGGCAAAGTTTCTGGGTTTACTTTTCTGAAAAGCTCGGTGTGGCTCGAAAGCTTGTCTCTTTCACCAACAAAATTTGGCCTCTCTCAGAACAGTTAGTGAGCTGAGTATCTTTACCGGTTGCAAAGTCAATAATGATGCTCTAATTTGGATCCTGCTATTCAAAGAAGGTAAGGAAAGGAACGAAAGGAATTGTTCTCTGTTCATAAAAGAATATTTGCCATTCTCTAGCCTAAAAGATATTCAAGGCGACACAGAGTGAATACGCTTCTCTTTATATAGTGCAGTAACTCCTGACAGGTACCTTTGCTTTCAAAGCTCCTTTTCTGTCTTGAGATGTGGTATTCTCTCCCTATTAAATTTACACTATAAAGTGCTGTGTCTTGTTGCTGTTTCCATTTCCAACCCATTAAATACTATTTTTTAAATCTGCTACTTCAATCTTGTTAAAAGTTTTCTTGTGAGGAGCAGAAGGAACTAAAGCAAAAAAGTAACAACAGCTCCACAGTCCAGAGTGCCCAGATCTTCACAGCTCTGGCATTCAAACAAATCGCTTAGGTGTGTGCTAAAATTCTGCATAGCTCCTATGTGGAATAACAACAGAAATCTGGGTGGCTACAGAGGCAGCCTGGCATACAATAGGACGTCTGCTCAACACACTATATGATCTTTCTCATCAACTTTATGCCACATGAGAAAAAGAAACACTTTCCACCTGGATAACTACATACATAAAGCCTGACTAGCCTCACTTATGCAGGTGTAAATCAAAAGGAAGTCTATTGAAATGAATGGCGTTACAGTGGTGTTAAAATTCCATAAGTGAAAGGAGAAACAGACCCATACTGTCTGCAAAGACTTTTCTGTCCTGGCCAACTGCCTGTTTGCCTGTTGTTAAAGCCAACCCTGTATGTGGTGTTTCATTCACTCTTCATACAATCACAGCATTGTAAAAATATGACAATTAACTTGACTACCAGACTATCTCTATCCTAAGGAAACCTAGGGCCGATTTCTGCTCTGAGACACCAGTACGGCGTCTCAAGTGTATATCTAAAAGGAGAACGGGGATGTTGGGTCTCGCTGCGGTTTTGCCATTGTTCCTGAAGACCAGATGGGCCTCTGCTGGATCTCAAATTCCCTAAACTCTGAAGTGTTCAGATTGGTGAGACACCTCAGGCTAAATTCAGAGGTAAAGTGTACTGTGACGTAATTTACATGTCAATAAGTGTGTGTCAGAGGGGCCGGGGACTACAGGCCAAATTATGGTCTTGATTTCAGTCAAGAAAAGCCAAAGATACTTAGCAGTATCTACACTGTGAATGCTTCACTGCTCTGAGTGACGTATCTAGGACAACCTAAACGTTAGGTGCAGACCAGGCCCAAGTTACATCAGCATAGATTCATACCATTTCTACCACCCACCTCTGAATTTGGCCTCACCGCTCATCCACTGCCCTGATCAATCCCATTTATTTATTTTGCTAATTTGTATAGCATCTATCACAGAGGCAGCTCTATGCAATGATAAAAACAAAACAAAGGCTTAAAGGGGCAGGAGAGTGGCAAGCTGTGAGTGCAGGAAAAGGCAGGAGGGGACTGCTGCAGGACAAGGAAGCAAATCATTTAAAATATTGTTGGACTGTCCCAGTTCATGGGGATTGCTAAGAGAGGTCACTCTAACCCTTTGTCTGTTTGTGTCCTGAGGGAAGGCCTTCAGATTCAGTGAGAGTGTGAAAGACACACTGCCATTTCAGCATCAACTTGGGGTGATTCAGGACGGCAGTTATGGTGACCCTAGGAGGGAGAGGCAAAAATCCCCACCACAACCAGAGACAAGGCGCAACAGTGACAATCCCATAAGGAGAGGGTAAAAATAGTGTAAATGGTGGCTCCATAAGGACAAGGCTGAGAAAACCCAAGGAACCTGCGTGGCCATTTGATAGATAGGCTAGATTAGACAGGCAGTACTACATGATGCATTAATCAGTCCATTCCCTTTTATGCTGGTCTATAATAAATTTATTTTCTTTTTTCTTCCTGCTGAACAGTTTTAACTCCATTTACCTCGCTTACGGCCCTGATCTGCTATATGTCACATGCTGTTTCTTTTATCATACTCACCATGGTCATGAGCAAATACAAACAAGTTAAGTCCTGTCAGCATCTGGGCTAAGTCATCATAGCGGCCGCAGTGTTCCCCAGCACCATGAGCGATAAACACAAGGGCCCTAAATGGAACATCAAGGTATAAAGCATTAACTTGGAAATCAGCCTAGAAAGGCACCAGAGCTGTGGGTAAAAATAGCATTATCATTTTATCAACAAGCACCTCAGACATCAACAAATTCAAGCCAGGTAAATGTGGGGCCCGAGTGGCATTTAACTGATGGTACCATGATGAGGAAGGGAGCAGATTGTCCATAAAGACCTAGGAGCACAGGAGAAGAAATAACATCACATGAACCTGGAACAGATGGCTTGATGGTGGCAGGCCTTTGGCTATATGTGAACCAGCTGCACACTGGATGGATGTACTGTACTTTTCCACCTGGCTCAGCACGAGGCTGCCACAATGGGAAGCTACAGGTCAATATTGTAGGTGGTCTCTGTAACTCTCCTTTATCAGGCTAATTACATTCTGGACTGGACTTTGCTCCTATGGAAATCAATGGAAGTGTTGTGATTGACTTCAGTGGAATCAAGGTTAGGACCTCTCTCTGTAGTTTCACCCAGATATATTATTATACACTTTCTGACTTAAATTGTTGTTCTTACTTACATTGCTGCACACAATGTTAAATGCTTACAGGATTTCAACAAAAATATGAACGCAAACCAGAACCCAGGACCTGAGTTGAAGTTTGGGGAATGCTGGACTTGATCCCAACATCAGTGTTTTTACCCATTTTCAACCCAGAAATAGCTGCACTGAGTGAAGTGATTCCTAAACAGTTACAGCAACCTTAGGCTCACAGAGCGTAAACCACTCTCGGATCCTGCTGTGTGAAAGGCGCTATACAAATGCTCCTCACTAAGGACTCACATTTTACAAATTTCTTACACGTTCAGAGGAATATCATCAAATAATGAAAATAAAGGTTTGAGTTTGGAGAAATTTTCCTGTGTCTTTACTGGACAGTATTTATAAAGAATGTTGATTTTGTTGTAAAAATAATTATGGCCGAGTGAAACTCCAGAAGTTTGCTCTGATTGGTAGATCTTTTTTCACCCCTATTAAATTTTAGTGTCTCAAATCTGAGTTATTCATTTAAAGGTGTAATCTGTTGTCAGAACACCTGTAACCACACTAGAGACCAGAGACCGCTACTTCAAGTTTTTCAGTACTGTATATTTAAAAAAATCCTAAAATGAACTAATAATAAATGGTAACAACAATTTACATTTAGTGAAATCTTCAACCCTATTTTCACAAGGATTTTTGATACAGCTGTAAAAGATGTATTCACACAAAGAAACTGCTTTGATCTTAGTTATATTTAAACTTAGAGACAATGCTAGATGCTGTAGTAATCACTGCCCCATCTCTTTGATTAACACTGATTTGCAAAATAATTGCTAATGCTAGACAACCTGACAGACCATCCATTCGAACTAGACAGGCTTCACGAAGCAAAGAGTAGATTCTCTAACAGCTATCTATATAAGGTTACCCTGACATTTCATTAATGCTAATCAGTAACAAGAAGACCAGGAAATGTAGCATCCCTAGCCCTGGGTGTTAGAGAGCATTTGATAGGCCACACTAGGAGTTCCAAAATGACCTGACATACAGTAGTAATGCCTTGAGTTAACATTTCCCTTAGAAAAGGCTAAGAGATCTTAAGCTTTCAGAACAAGGGGTGTGGGGTGGGAGAGAATTCGGAAGCAAACTCAAGATGACTAATGCACATTCTTTAGATCCTGCTTGCTTTGCTTGTCTACAAGTCAAACACCAAACCAAAGTAAGGGAATAAAAAGGAGAAATTTTTTGCCGGTCTATATCTGGCATTTCCAAGGTGTCCCTCACCATGGTTTCCAGGCACAACAAGTAGTTTCTCAGATGACAAGTCATTTAAAATACCAATAACATACCAGGTGACCTTCATGGTATGCAATTTCTGGTGAAGTGAGCAAGCCGGTAAAGTGAGAGCATTGTAAGGAGACATTAATTGCTACTTTATCTTGCAATTACACTGGAGGCTAAATTTTGCTCTCATTCATACCCATGCTACCTCACTGACTTAGAACTAGATCAGCTAAAGTTTTGAGCACCTTACTGAAATATGTGGAAGTTGAGGGAGTTCAATGTTTCACAAAATTAAGGGTATAGGGCCCGATCCTGCAGCCTTTACTCACAAGTAATTCTTAGTCCCAAATGACTGCAACGGAACTAGGATATAGCAGTTCCGGAATTGGATCCTTAAATGTCATGTGGCAGGGACCTTGTCTTTTATTTGCCTGCAAAGCATCATGGATAAAATTCTCAAATGCACCTGAGGGTATGTCTACACAGCAGATAAACAGCCATGGCTAGCCTGTGTCAGCTGACCTCAGGTTCACAGGGCTCGGGCTGTGAGGCTGTAAAACTGTGGTGTAGATGTTCGGATGCAGGCTGGAGCACGGGCTCTGGAATCACCGTGGACTCCCTCCAATCATAATGCTTGTGAAAAGAAAGAAATACAATACAGCAAATAGGAAACTCTTTTCAATTTTTATCTTAACGTTCCTTTTTTGGTGTCATTTAAAGTTAATACAGATACACTGCAGGCTTTAGCACTTTGTAGGACTGCGGTGTCTATGGACTTGGCAAGCAACAACTGCAGGGTTGGCCTCACAGGAAATTGGTCTTAGAATGTACCTTCATCTCCAATTGTAATTCTGCTGGCAAGATCATTTGGAAGTGACATGGCTCGGGTAGAAGCCAGTGCTCACAGCTTGAAATGCTTTTCTGAAGACTGAGTTATGCCTGAACCATGTTAATTTCATAGGCTCCATGAGCTCAGCCAGAGAAGTCTTTGTGGTGCTTTGGATGCTTCAAATGACTCTGGATGTGGGATCTGTAGTTGCTAAACTTTGTGACTAAACATCATTTTGGACTCAGTTCAGCAAGATACCCAACCTGATGCCAAACTGTAAGCATGGATGTAGTCCAATGAAATCAATGAGACGACACATGTGCTTAAGTGCCTTGATGAATAAGGGTCGTTATGCATGGTAGTGGTAAGATTATGCCATTACTCAGAGAAAGCTGGTACATGTTTGGTAAAGAATTTTTTAAAATATATAAATTAATGTTTATTTGGCATATTTTTGTAGCCATCACAGCAAAAGTAGGTCTCAGCTCTCAACGCTTTGAACACTTGTATACTTACCATTATAATTACACATCCTGTAATATGTTATTTCTTACTTTTAGCCAGCAATTTAAATTATGCTGGTCTCAAGTCTAGGACACTATAATCCCTGTGCCAAAGGAGAGCAGTTTGCAGGGAACATATTCAGTCCTGGATCAGTGCCAAGGAAACTGCTTTACTTGAGAGACTGGCATTGTTTTAAGGGCTGATGTCTTGTGATCCCTACCCTCCACCAAGGCTAGAAACAGATGTTTCATACCATTAGAAAATTGGGATTCAAGTCCAGTTGGACCATGAGATATACTTTATTGTATTATTTTATTTATCAAGATAGAGACCACTACAATATTAACTAGATTGGCGTCGGGGGGTGGGGGGGCAGCACGAGGGAGAGCAAGACTGTAAGCAGAATGATGTGATTGTAAGATCTGTTATCTTGTGACCAGACAGGGCTAAAGACACTTTAGTGGGACCGGTATGCATTCTTTTAGGACCAGAAAATGTCTCCAAGCCCTGAAACTACACTTGTAACATTCTACATACATGAGCAGTTTCTCTGACTTTCATAGGACTACACACGAGTAAGTGTTTGCAGATCTAATATCTTACTGGATCCCAAGATTGCAACAATTCCTTCATCTACATAGTGTTGGGATGAGATTTTTACAGCAGACATGACCGCCAGAGTAGAATAACGTTGGTAGGTTATTCAGCGATACCAGAAAGTGGTGTTGTTATAAATGAATAGAGCTGAGACAGAATTGCACAGCACAGATAGATTTCCATACAAAAGGCTCCACCGGAATCCAACTAGAGCCAGCATGAAATAATGCAGAGAAACAGCTTGGAATGTATGATTTATTGGGTCTTTTGAAAATGTGAAACATCAATGTGAATAGCTCACAACTGATCTGCTAAAAAATGCAAAGAGTTGAAGCAAACGGTGGAAGTATTCTCTGGACACTGCGACTGAATGAGTAGAGTGATTCCATGCAGATCTCTGAAATTTAACTTTTTAATAACAGATATTTTGTTTAAAGGCTATTATCTTTTAGGAGACACTGGGCTAAAGTCTGAGGTGAATTATGTGGTGTTGTAAAGTAAAATTCCTAGGCCTAATCTTCCCTTCCCATCCCATTCCAGGGTAAACCCACAAGAAGGGATCACAAGGATCCTGTCGCAAAGTCTTCCCCAACTCCCCCTTCCTCCATTTCCCCACCAAGGTGGTGGGATCTGCCCCAGCAGAACCAACTGCAAGGTCTGCTGCCCCAAACCTGGCAGACTGATGGGCACTTTGGAAACGCAGACAGGCTAGACAGAATTTTAAAAGACTTTGTGCTTGAGATGCCTCTCACACCAGTTTTATGCTGTTGTAATTCCACTGATTGCAATGGGGTTAGTCCTTAGCTTCATTGGAATAATGAATCAGGGATCCTAAATCTAAATACACAAATGCAGGCTCAGGTCACACACGATTGAGAAGTGTGTTAACATAAACTCTTTGTACCAGGATTACTAACCCATCCCTCCCCATCAGAATCTGGTTATTTATGAACCAGCCTGGATTCAGTTTTGTACCGTGTTTTACTCTTTGCTCTGCTACAGCCTTGTTATGTGACCCTGGGCAGGTCAATTCACCTCTTTGTGCCTCAGCCTCCCTCTCCCAAGGTGTAAAATGGGGATTGCGTACTTGCCTATCTCCTAGGAGTGCTATAAGGATTAATGCATTGACATCTGTAGAGCACTCTGAGAGCCTCAGATGGAAGATGCTATAGATATATTGTGATGGACTGGACTAGGCCTAAAGGTCCCCTGCGGGAGGCCTCAGGGTTCTGCCATCCCAAAAAGGAAGAGTGGGAGAGGTCCTCCAAGTGTC